GTCTGAGCCAATAAGTGCACGGAGGAGCGGAAGGCCGGACATGCAAAATGGTGTATTTGTTGACCTCTCTCAAGATCTGATAGCGAGAGGTGGAGTCACGCATCGATCGATGAGAGACGGCGGCGAGCGGGCAGCGGTGAGCGACATATGACACCGCCCCGAAAAAGTTTTTCTGGTGGTAGGAGAATAATACACCATTTTGCATGTCTGCTGAGTCCGGCCTTCAGCTCCTCCGTGCACTTATTGGCTCAGACGTTTTTCTTAATTACGCGATAATAATTACGGATTTTGTAAAATGGTATATAACTTTTCTTCTCAGCTTGACCCAATCTACTATAATCTTTGGAGTCGTCCAAATCGAATCCGACACCCTGTATACACACAGTCGTGAGCTGAAAACTAAAGGTTTTCATAGCTAGCCAACACACTGTTGTTAGGGGTAGTACACATAGTATTTTGTAACATTTTCGATACATAGGGCTTTAGAAAATAAATTAATTGTACTACATACATTGCTCGATGGACAAGTTCATCGTTATTTGTATATTCTTGCCCAAGAACATTGCATATAACTATAAGCACAAGAACCGGGAACACGTAAAGAATTAATTTTACAGTTTCAATCTTGTCCTCTTGCATCGTTATTATTCGATATAGCTGCAAATAGCATCAATAGTTGCAATATAAATAATTTAATAAAGCTGGCAATAATGATAAGAATAATTTAACCGAAATTTCTACGCACACGAAAAAGACTAGCAATGGCCGAAATTAAAGCTGTCAGAACCATAAACAGGTACGATACTCCAAAGCTATTCTTTAATAAATCCGAAAATCTAATAGAATAAAGAGTTTTCGTTATTACTCTTCATCAGAAAATTGTAGAAAGTCGTAATATTTTATCTTCGAGCTCTTGCCAATTTGTATAACAGACTTTGTTGGAATTAGTAGCATACTAACTCAATTGCTCTTCTATGGGTGTCCACTGCAGCCATTATTTTATCATGGAATATAATATAACTTTTAGCTATAGATATTTGGGAAACATCTTCGTTTAACATACGTTCCATACGGTAACTATAAAATTCTGTATGTTATGAAAGAGATATGAACAATATATATAATATCTATATTGTAGCACACAATTATTGTAAAATTTTACTTCAAAATTACACCTATAAAATTATTCTATTATACATTATTTAAATAAATATTAATCATATTTATTCTTACATATATGATTGCATTCAGCAATAATAAATATACAGGGTGTCGGATTCGATTTGGACGACTCCAAAGATTATAGTAGATTGGGTCAAACTGAGAAGAAAAGTTATATACCATTTTACAAAATCCGTAATTATTATCGTGTAATTAAGAAAAACGTCTGAGCCAATAAGTGCACGGAGGAGCGGAAGGCCGGACTCGGCAGACGTGCAAAATGGTGTATTTGTTGACATCTCTCAAGATCCGATAGCGAGAGGTGGAGTCACGCATCGATCGATGAGAGACGTCGGCGAGCGGGGAGCGGTGAGCGGGCGAACGGCGCGTAGCGAGCGAACGCGCGACATATGACAACGCGCCGAAAAAGTTTTTCTGGTGGTAGGAGAATAATACACCATTTTGCATGTCTGCCGAGTCCGGCCTTCATCTCCTCCGTGCACTTATTGGCTCAGACGTTTTTCTTAATTACGCGATAATAATTACTTGGATTTTGTAAAATGGTATATAGCTTTTCTTCTCAGCTTGACTCAATCTACTATAATCTTTGGAGTCGTCCAAATCGAATCCGACACCCTGTATATCGAAATGCACCAAAATTCAATGAAATTCGAAAGCTCTCAAGTTATTTACTTCTCTACTTCGTTATTATTTATACTTTTTCTTTTTGCCCTATTTCTTTTCACTATTTCATATTAGCGTGACCATATGTAATTATGCATATAAAGTAAGAAAAAAGCAATGCAAAAGTAAAAGTGACAAATAATAAGGAAAGACTACACGATACCAAGGTCCGAATGTACATAAAATCTAATTAATGCTATAAATAAAAAGTTACCTAATTGATATCAATTGAGTACAAACTCTAATTTATTGCTAGGAAATATTTTCTTCATTAAAAAATATACTAGTTCAATTTTCAGGTTGAAACAAATAAAAATAAACACAAACAGTGAAAAGTTGTTCATTAAAAAATATTTCTCTCTTACGATGTACCGAGTAACTCTAAACATTCCGAAAGCATGTAATGCGTTTACTAATAAAAATGTTTCAGCAGCTATTCCAGTAGTTGCACAAAGGAATAAGCCAATGCTTTCATGTATCATTACAGTATAAAGATACTTTTCCTGAACGATCGAGTATTTTGCCTGATACAGAAGTAGACGCGAGCGAGATTCATTTAAAGGCATTAGTGTATCAAGAAGATCCGGACTAAATTCTGTCAGAATGAAACAAACAGATCCAACATAGACCTCAACTGAAACATGTTAAGATTTATTAATTTATTCTGTTAAAGAAAATAATGGTTGCCGCGTGTTTAAACGTTCAAATTATTTGTGCTATACCAAGTTTAATAACATTATAAAAATACTTCTTTTTTAAAGAATACATACTCGTAGATATCACATTTCATACAAACCAAACAATATTTTCATTGTTGTTAACATATATATGGTGTCCCTTTTTATTTAACTAGGACAGTAAAATATCTCAAAAACTAAGCCCAGCCACAATATTGTTTCAGACAAAAGTTGTATGGTGTCAAGGGGGACATAAGATGGTGTCATTAATTTGACCTTGAATAGTTGCTTGAAGGTCACCTTCAATTTGTTAAGTGGAACCCCTTATTGTTTTTTGATACAATACACAAAAATTTTCAATAATTGTAACACTATTGCAACAGCATATTTCTGAGACCATATCAAGTCAAAAAATCCTGTACAACTATTCAAGATCAAACCAATGGTACCATCTTATGTCCCCCTTCGAACCAAACAACTTTTGTTTGAAACGTTTTTCCGTATCTTTCATATTTTTGGAGATATTTGCGTGGATCATTTACAATGAGACACTTGTATATACATTTTTCTGCGTTCAAAAATAAGAAGTTATTTGGGGTGGAACATTAAATTGGGACACCATGTATATACACACTGAAAAAAACTTTTAATAAGGAATGCGTAATTATTGCATTAATTTTAAAACTCCAACAAGCACGACTTAAGGGGATCCCTCAGTCATCTTTTTTACCGACACAGTCAAATGTAGTTTTTGCGCTTGTAATTCTTTTTATTAGCTTTTATGTATCTAGCTACGCCCTTGCACATAATTAAATTACATCCGAATTTAATCAGGATGAAGTAATTAAAAATTGATTGGAAAATGGTTTTACTTACTCATTATAGCTATTGTACATTGTCTTCCAATATTGGCATATTTGTGCATTATGTCGATTTCTCGATTATCGGATAGAATATTCCAATTACTTTGGACACATTTCCGTATTTGTTTTATCTATTGATGCATGCAAAAAGTATTATTGTATACATATAGCGATTAACTTCAAATTAAATTTAGTTTAAATTACTGCAGAACTTACACTTCCGATAAGAAGGATTAAACTAATATATTTGACAAACCACACTAAAATGAAGAAAAAAAGAGCTACTGCTTCCAGAAAAAAATCAAGGTTGAATTCCGGAATGAGTAATCTCATAAACTGTAAGCAACATATTTAATAATATGCGAATAATATTTTATAATTATAGATAATGCATATCTGAAAGAAAAGTTATTTAAAAAACTCTTGCATACGCACAAAATGTGCGTTTAACGTACGTGTATTGTAAATACCCGAGGAACAAAATCATATATCTAATTGTATCTAATTATTAAAAATGTCAGATATAATAAACTTTGATCTAATTATATCCAAATTTTAATCCATTCATTTATAAGTACATCAAATCAGATGTGGTCAGATGTACAGGTAGTCAGATAAAACGGTATAAACATCTGACTATATCTGACTACATCTGCTTTGATATATGTATTTATAAATGGATGCATTAAAATTTGCATATAATCTGATCAAATTTTATCATATCCGACATTATTTAATGCAATTAGATAAAATTGGATATGTGTATAGCTTTTTCCCAGAGTATAGTTATCTCTTGCAAGATTATCTGAATAATATTATTGTTGATAATGATTCCAAATATTGCAATTTCTTGTACATCGAAATGAGGAAAAATAAAAATATTTAACTTCTAGATGAAAACTTTTAAATCAAATATTTAACTTTAGATCAAGCAATAATAAATATACATGATTAAATATACTTAATCAATTAGATATATTTATCACTTAATGAAAAAATGTTACACTAAAACAACTGTGCTGTGAGATTCAGATAATGTGAAAATCAATTTACAATTATTAAACCTTTCTTTGAAATATACAATTATATCTATTATACAATAGAGATTGAACTGCTTATTAGATAAATATTAGCATTTAGAATATTAAATCGTCATTTGTATCTGAGTGTAAAACACGTGTATAATGATTTTTTTAAAATAATTTTGTATCAAAGATGCCAATGACATTCTTTTCATAATAATCTATATAGCTCGCGGAAAGCACGGCCGTAAAAAATAAAAGAAATATAAAATAAAAATATAAAAAGTATGAATGTTTTAATTCTGTTTACAATTATGTGCATAAACCAAAATTAAATTTATTATATATTTTACTACGCAAAATTTATTTATATTAGAAGAACTATTATCAAAAGCAGATATAAACGATTCAGTAATGTTAGTATTGAATATATTTAACAAGTGAAGTTAAGTATTATGTATCGTATAAAAAAAATAAAATCAGATACCTGAATTGTTATATACAATCCAAAAATTAGTAGTGATACTACGACTTGAATTTGTCCGATGATAGAATTATCGTAGGGCCAGAGTCCAATCGATGACAATAGCATGTGATTGTATCTATAGTACTTCGCCTCCGGAAACACCATCTCGGGTAACAGTCAAAGCGTCACTGAGAACCTATAGCCTATAGAAGTTTCTTACCCCTTGCTCTGCCACGGCTCACTTAATTTCCTTCGTTATCATATTATTGTATTATCGACTTTTACCCGTTTAGAACATTAAAGATAAGTGCTATAATTGAGACTTGGATCTTATATTCTTCTTATGCTTATTCACATAAGAAGAATATAAGATCCAGAAAATAAAATTTTAAATAAAAAATAGATTTCTTGCGAAGAAGCAACGATACCTTTTTATTATGTTCTATTACAGCATTAACTAAATTATCGTAAATTATAGTTAGGTGAATACTCCTTATTTTTCTTACCTAGCATAAATGCGCACACGAGAAAGAGAATATTTATCAGTAGAACGTATAAAATCGAGTGTAATCACCTCTGTATTTCGTACTTCATAATGTTTCGAACGCAGAATTGTTGAATATATTCAAACATAATAGAAAGTGATATTAAGCTGCAAATTTTCAAATAACAGAAATTAATTATAAACCATATAAATCAACAGCAAATTTTGTGAGTATGACAATGTTACTGAACCGAGAAATATTTTAATTGCTTTGTCATTGTCCACGTTTCGCATCCATACAGTACCACCGCTCTAATCAGTGCTTTATATAGTTTTTTTTTTGGTATGTTTCGATACCAAGCGTGACACCTCATTATTGGTAACATTGCGTAGTAGGCTTTGTTTCCGTTGTTGATTCTCATCTTTATCTCCGCACTTATTGCAACATTTTTGTTAACTAGTGTTCCCACGTACTTAAACTGCTCCACTGCTTCGAACGTGTTGTCTCCGCATATCAGATGTTGTTTACCTTTGATTTGTTTCTTGCTGTTGTGACTAGGTATTTTGTTTCATCGGCATTGATTCTTAGGCCGAATTTGGCTGACTCCCTTTGCAGTTCCGTGTAAGTCTCTTCAGTGTCCTTTTTGACTTTCCTATTATATTTATGTTGTCCGCGTATGCAAGGATCTGGATTGAGCGATTTATGATGGTCCCATCTATTCTGTTCTTCGTTTTCGTTATAATAGCTTCCAGTGCGAGGTTAAGAAAAAGTTGTTGCGCGGGTAGGTAGGAAAATGAATAGGACTCTATACAGCGGAATATGGGTTGGTAAAGATTCGGGTAGGCTGGGACAGAGGAATAGTGAAAAAATTTCATTGACGAGTTTAATAATTATCAATGACATTTTTAATTTTTCACGAGTTTACGCTAGGGAAAAAGATTCACCATTTAGCTCTAGGATACGGTGCGGATCGCACGATATATGTATGTGTCAGCTTTACACCTAAATAGTAGTTCAAAATTAACAACAACATAGTCCAGATTCAGAATTTTTAATTAAAACCGTTAATCACATTGCTCATTAATTTTTTAAAATATGATTTCGTAAGTTCGCTATACATTTTCATGTATCTCTATAAAATGATAAACTCGCCGGATGTATCTTTTGTAACTGAAGTTATTTCTCTTTACATGGAACACAAGATCGTCACAAAAGAGAGCACTAAATTCACGGCCTGAAACAAAAATATTACAGATCACATTAATATGATGAATATTTTTATTATAATAATATGATATTTCTGAATATAGCACGAGTTCTTACTGCGGTTAAACCTTCCAAACAAGGACTAAACAGACCAGCAGCATCAACTTTGTAAGTTTTTGTAGTTTTTCTCAGCAAAAAGAATATAAGTTTTTGTATTTTTAATGGAGCATTGTACCATTCTGTATTACATCTACATTACAAACAAAAATTAATTATTCTCTTAACATATTTTTGTACATATAAAAATTGTATGTATGTACAGGGTGTTAAGCAACATACATGTCAGTACGACGGGTTGCCCATTCAAGCAGGCGCGCATGGTCGTTCACACCTGCGCGCTGGGTCGGCTTCGGCGAAATTATATCGCGAGATTAATGACAGTAAATTTGTTCAGGTACAAGAGTCATGACGAAGTCAAAATCCATGTTGTGCCTAAACAAATTTACTGTTATTAATCTCGCGATATAATTTCGCCGAAGCCGAACCAGCGCGCAGTTGTGAACGACCATGCACGCCTACTCGAATGGGCAACCCGTCGTACTGACATGTATGTTGCCTTAACACCCTGTACATGCATACGTACAGGGTGTCCAGTTCTATTTTTAACAGTCAAATATGGAAATGACAGGTTTCAGAAAAAATTATTCAGATCACCACACGTCTTTTGCTTTAAAAGAAAATTAAATACTTAAACAAATTCTGCGAGCAAATATTACATTTTATCAGTATACTTAAAATATTGTACTGTTTATTACTCGATAGTTGTTGCAAATTTTAAAAATCGCATGATTTTTCTTTTTGTTTATCCCAATTTACCGCTATTTTTCGAGTGATTATTTTTAGGTCGGACACCCTGCATATATACGAGTACACACAATCGTAAGCGGAAGACTAAAGGCTTTTATAGTTTTAGGAGTAGGGGCACTAAGACGTGCCCTTTGTAAGACCAAAACGGACGATCGACACGTTATTTTCGATCAATGCCAATCTCTAGTTGATCTTTTAGAATTGTTTGTCCCGTTTTCACAGAACAATCCCGCAACAATCGTAAACTGCGTGGTGAGCAATCGCTCTACCGCTGAGTAACGCAAATTTGAAATTCCATAAATTAAAAAGTTTTTAATTTAAAATTTAAAAAATCTAAAAATTTGAAAATACTGAATTTATTGTCAGTTTTACATTAGGGCCTTCATATGGCTTGGGCCTTGTGTCCGTGCACTTGTTGTACGTGTCTACTTAGGGTCCTTAAGTAGCACAGTGCATTGACCAAACAATAGTTAAACATTGGCCCAATATTTGATTATATTGGGCCAATGTTTAGCCAATACACTGTTTTTTACTAGGCGTAATACAGATAGTATCTTGTAACAGTTCCGATACATAGTTCTTTAAAAAATATATTAATTGTACTACATACATTGCTCGATGGACAAGTTCATCACTATTTATAAATTCTTGCCCACTAAAATTACCCATAAGTAAAAACAGAACAATCGGCAAGACGTACAGAATTAATTTTACAGTTTCGATCTTCTCCTGTTGCATCGTTATTACTCGAAATAACTGCAAATAGCATTGATGCAATATAAATAATTTGATAAAGCTGGTAATAATGATAATAATAATGTAAGCAAATTTTCTACGCACACGAAAAAGACTAATAGTGGCCGAAACTAAAGCTGTCATAAGCATAAGTAGATACGATACTCCAAAGCTATTTTTTATTAATTCCGATAATCTGATAGAATAAAGGTTTTTCGTTATTTCTCTTCATCATAAAGTCGTAATGCAGAAGTCGTAATATTTTATCTTCGAGCTCTTGCCAATTTGTATAACAGACTTTGTTGGAATTAGTAGCATACTAACTCAATCGCTCTTCTATGGGTGTCCACTGCAGCCATTATTTTATCATGGAATATAATATAACTTTTAGCTATAGATATTTGTGAAACATCTTCGTTTAACATACGTTCCATACGGTAACTATAAAATTCTGTATGTTATGAAAAAGATATGAACAAGATATACAATATCTATAATGTAGCACACAAGTATTGTAAAATTTTACTTAAGAATTATACCTATAAAATTATTCTATTATACATTATTTAAATAAATATTAATCATATTTAATCTTACATATATGATTGCATTCAGCAATAATAAATATATATCAAAATGCACCAAAATTCAATGAAATATAAATTCGAAAGCTCTCAAGTTATTTATTTCTCCACTTGGCTATTATTTATAGTTTATCTTCTTGCCCTATTTCTATTCACTATTTCATATTAGCGTGACCACATGAGATTAGGCATATAAAGTTAGAAGGAAAGCAACGTAAAAGTAAAAGTTACAAATAATAAGGATAGGCTATACGATACCGAGGTGTGAATGTACATAAAATCTAATCAATGCTATAAATAAAAAGTTACCTAATTGATATCAATCGAATACAAACTCTAATTTATTGCTAGGAAATGTTTTCTTCATTAAAAAATATACTAGTTCAATTTTCAGGTTAAAACAGATAAAAATGAACATAAACAGGGAAAATTTGTTCTTTAAAAATTATTTCTCTCTTACGATGTACCGAGTAATTCTAAACATTCCGAAAGCATGTAATGCGATTAGGAATATAAATGTTTCAGCAGCTAGTCCAGTAATTCCACAAAGGATTAAGGCAATGGTTTCATGTATCATTATAATATAAAGATACTTTTCCTGAATGATCGAGTATTTTGCCTGATACAAAAGTAGACGCGAGCGAGATTCATTTAGAGGCATTACTATATCAAGAAGATCCGGACTAAATTGTATTAGCAGGAAACCAACATATCCACCGTAGGTCATAACTGAAATATGTTAAGTTTTATTAATTTATTCAGTTGAAGAAAATAATGGTTGCCTCATGTTTAAACGTTCGAATTATTTGCTAATTCTTTTTATTGGCTTTTATGCACCTAGCTACGCCCTTGTACATAAGTAAATTACATCCGGATTTAATCAGGACGAAATATTTAAAAATTTATTCGAAAATGTTTTTACGTACTCATGAAAGCTATTGTAGATTGTCTTCCAATATTGGCATATTTGTGCATTATATTGATTTCTCGATTATCTGATAGAATATTCCAATTACTTCTGAGACATTTCCGTATTTGTTTTATCTATTGATGCATGCAAAAAATATTATTGTATATGTTAGGCTCAAAGAACGAGAACGCTCATTGAGCAAAAAACCATGACGCGTTCTAACTTCTTAGATTCAGTCATAACGCGAAATTCGGGTTGTG